TTGGCTTGCTTGAATAATTAATGAATATACTTATTTGTGATCTTAAAAAGAAAACATTGAAATCAGCCATGAATGGGAGGTTATTGAGGATTAACTAGTGGTGATGGAAGAATGGTGTTGAGTGCATAAAGTGGTCCCAATAAGAGTAGAACACAAGTCCAAGAATCTTTGCAATTAAGGGAATAGAGACATAGTTATTAGCTATGAGGGATATGCAATCAAGTGAGAGCATTCCTTTTATTCTCTTAAGCCAGGGAAAATTTGAGTGTGTTTCCATATTGATGAGAAAGATCCAGAAGAATGGATCATGAGACATACATTTCAGAGTGTCCTTTTTCATGCTTGGCATTCTAAGCAATTAAAAAAATGTAATAAGTGGAAGGGAATATCAAAAAAATAACTTTACATTGCAATTATTTTCCTACTGGTGAGGATATTTGTGGTTTTCTCAGATGTTTGCTTTCTGTATTACAAATTGTTTGTGCCAGTTCTGTGCTTTTGTTTGGTGGGTTTGGAGTGTTTATATTCTTGTTTTTTATTCCATTTTTCTACACATAGGAATTAGAGTTTTTCCACTAGCTTTGTTATTTGACCTTCAGTTTCTTTATGTATGTGTAAATGTATTTCAGGGTAGTAGTAAAGTTAATATATTGTGTGCTCAAACCTAACATTTGGCCATATTATCCTCCCTCCTCTTCCATATGTAAGTGTAGAAAGTTTTTCTGCATTGTTTGAATTAATAAATTATCATTTATACATATTCCCAACAACATATCTTCACGTTTCTGTTATTCCCTATTTTACCTTTTGGCCCTTTGTGATTAGATCTATTTCTCAAAGTACCCTCACCAGCAACCATCATTGGAAAAGTTTTTTTTTTCAATCATTTAACTAACATTCACCTCTTTTTCCTAAATAAATATGAGTTAATATATATCTATAGGAGATGAAAGCATCAGTTTAGAAAATGCTTCATACCCACATTTTTGGTTATATTATTTTATTTCTAAGTTTTTATGTTTTTTAAAAACTAACCTGCATGCCTAATGTGGGAGTTAAACTCATAAGCCAAAGAACAGGAGCTGTACTCTCTACTGACTAAGCCAGGCATGTGCCCTTGTTTCCAAGTCTTTAGCACCTTAATTAGAATTAGTGACCCACGTTGATGTCTTTACGTTAATACTATTTTATGCTTATCTAGAAAATTAGTTTTAGATTGTCATTGTGTTTCAGGCTGTTTTGAGATAGCTCCATGTCTAACTTATTCTCACTCCTACTGTTATCCTTTGATCCATAAGCTCTTAATTTCTTTTAAAACCTCTGTTTCTAGGGGTGCCTGGGTAGCTCAGTCAGTTGACTGTCTGACTCTTGGTTTAAGCTCAGGTCATGATCTCTGGGTCTTGAGATGGAGCCCTGAGTCAGGTTCTGGGCTGATTATGGAGCCTGCTTGAGTTTCTCTCTGCCTCTCCCTCTGTCCCTCATCCACTTAGCTTCTTTGCTCTCTCTTTTTTTCAAAAAATAGTATGTTTCTATATTATGCATATGAAAATATTCATACATATTTTTCTTTTTTAAAATATTTTATTTATTTATTTGACAGACAGAGATCACAAGTAGGCAGAGAGTCAGGTAGGGGTGGGGGAACAGGATCCCTGCTGAGCAGAGAGCCTAATGTGGGGCTCTACCCCAGGACCCTAGGACCATGACCTGAGCTGAAGGCAGAAGCTTAACCCACTGAGCCATCCAGGTGCCCTCAAACATATTTTTCTTAAATATTTTATTTATTTATTTGATAGAGACAGAGAGTGTGCAAGAGAGCATAAACAGAGAAGGGCCAGAGGGAGAGGGAGAAGCAGTTTCCCTGCTCAGGAACCTGATGCTGGATTGGATCCCAGGACCTTGACCCTAGGACTTGAGCCAGAGGTGGATGTTTAACCAACTGACCCACCCAGGTGCCCTAATTCATACACTTTTATACAAATTCATGAATGGAATCTTATGCACATTGTAAATGGTCTTTAACTATGGTGCAGTCTTTTTTTTTAACAGCTTATCTCCCCCAGTAGTACCTTACAGACTTGCCTCCATCAACCAGTATAATATTAATTCATTATTTCAGTGATCCCATAGTATTTCAAGGTGTGGCTCTGTCATCTACACTTTTGAGGATTTATGTATATATGTATGTATGTATGTATGTATGTATGTATGTATTTTTATATTCTTTCTCATTAAATTGCTGTTATTTCAATTATACAAAAATATTTTGAGATTGAGTTAAAATGCTTGTTCTCCACTGGGAGCAATTTTGTCCTCCAAGAATATTAAGTGATGCCCAGAAGCATTTTAGGCTGTCAGATTGGAGAGGTGTCATGACAGGCCAAGGATGTTCTAGACATCCTACAATGTTCAGGACAAACTGCACCACAGAGAATGATCTGAGCCAGAATGTCAATAGTGCTGAGATTAAGAAACCCTGAGGTGAATAATGCATGCCTATATTCCTATTACTTACAGCTGTTTTCATATTATTTCCCCCAAATGTTATAGTGCATCATATTTCTTCTATGAAAAAGAGTACCACTTTGCTACCTGTTTAAAAGTTCTAATCCCAAATGATGTGACAGCTCTTTAAGTCTTTTGACAGACTGATGGGTATGGAAGGGATTTCTTATTGTTTTCATAAATAATTAGTGAGTTTGAACAAATTCATATATTTGGTTACCACTTTGGTTTGCTCATTATTATTATATGCCCATATATTATATGCCTATTTTCTACAGTTGTCAGCATTTTAAATAATTTTATGGATTACTGTTTCTCTATTGAATTCTATGGAGATATTTGGGCAATGAAAATGTTTTAACTTCTATAAGTTAATGTATAAGTACACACACACACACAATTAATTATTTAATTATTTATTTATTTAGGGTCATTTTTGGTCATTTTAAGGACTTCTGGGGGAATTTTTGTATTTTTTAAAATCTATTTTCAATGGCTGTATAAAGACATGTGGTGTTATATTAATTTCAGGTGTATGATACAGTGATTCAATAAATCTTAAACTTTATCAGTGTTCATCATGGTTAAGTGTATTTTAATCCCCTTCATCTATTTCACCCATTACCCCATTCACCTCCCCTCTGCAACCAGCAGTTTATTCTCTATATTGAAGAGTTTGCTGTTTTGTTCATCTCTTTTTTCTTTGTTCATCTGTTTTGTTTCTTAAATTCCAAATATAAGTAAAATCATATATTTGTCTTTCTCTGACTGATTTCTTTTACTTAGCGTTACACCCTCTAGATTTATCCAAGAATTTGCAAATAGTAAGATCTCATTTGTAGCCATTGATACACTTTATCTACCCTCCAACCTACCCTCTGGCAAATACCAGTTTGTTCTATTTAAGTGTCTGTCTGTTTGTTCACTTGTTCTGTATTTAGGTTATGCATATAAGTGAGGTGATATGATAATTTATTTATTTGACTTATTTTACTTAGTATAGCACCCTCTAGATCCACCCATGTTGTTTCCAGTGGCTAGACCTCATTCTTTGTTATGATTGAGTAATATTCCATTGTGTATATGTATACCTATATCTATCTACATCTGTATACCACATCTTCTTTTCCATTCATCTATCAGCAGAAACCAGGGTGGGAGGTTGGGGGAACCAGGTGGTGGGTATTAGAGAGGGCACGGACTGCATGGAGCACTGGGTGTAGTACAAAAACAATGAATACTGTTATGCTGAAAATAAATTTTAAAAAATGATTAAAAAAAAGAAACCAGGTCTGCTTCAATATCTTGGCTATTGTAAACAATGTTACAAAAGCAATAGGTGCATATTTAATTTTGAATTAGTGTGTTTGTCTTCACTGGGTAAATACCCAGTAGCAGAATTACTTGATCATGTGGCATTTCTCCTTTTAATGTTTTGAGGAACCTCCATACTGTTTCCACAGTGGCTATACCGTTTTTCATTCCCACCAACAATGCATGAGAGATCCCTTTTCTCCACATCCTTACCAATACTTATTATTTCTTGTCTTTTTTATACTAGCCATTCTGACTGGTGTGAGGTGATAGTCTTATTCATTTGGATGTCACATAAAAGTATTTTATTTCCTTCTCAGTTGTTTACTGTTGGTATATAGAAATGCAACTGATTTTTTTTAAAGATTTTATTTGTTTATTTGACAGAGAGAGATCACAAGTCAGCAGAGAGGCAGGCAGAGAGAGAGAGAGGGAAGCAGACTCCCTGATGAGCAGAGAGCCCGATGAGGGACTCGATCCCAGGACCCTGAGATCATGACCTGAGCAGAAGGCAGAGGTTTAACCCACTGAGCCACCCAGGTGCCCACAACTGATTTTGTGAGGGTTGGCTTTGTACCCAGTTACTTGGCTGAATTAATTTTTTTATCATTTCTATCCGTGTTCCCGTGGCATCTTTAGGATTCTCCACATAAAAGATCACATCATCTGCATACATTAATTTATTCTTTCTTTCCAGTTTGGATGCCATTTATTTCTATTTATTGTTTCTTTTTAAATGTTATTTAATTAGTCGTTCATTAGTTGTTGATGTAGTGTTCCATGATTCACTGTTTCCATATAACACTCAGTGTTCATTGCAATACATGCCCTCCTTAGTACCCATCACCGAGCTAACTCATACAGTTGCTCTGGCTAGAACTTCCAGTGTTATGTTGAGTAGAAGTTGTGAAATCAGGCATCCATGCCTTGTTCCTGATTAAAGAGGAAAATGTTCACTGTATCCCCATGGAGTATCATGCTTGCTGTGGATTATTCATAAATAGCTTTATGTTGAGATAGTTTCCTTTTATTCCTAGTTTTTAGTGTTTTTATTGTCTTCCATACACAAATATAAACCTTAGTTTCTTGGTGCAGAGTATAAACATTAATGTATTTCCCAGGTTAATGATGCATGATTATGTCATGTTGTTTTCTCTTATTTTGCTAGTCATGTTGACTACATGGAACTAGAGAATGATACACAAATTTCAGAATTTCTTCTTCTGGGATTTTTGGAAGAACCAGAATTACAACCATTCATCTTTGGGCTGTTTCTGTCCATGTACCTGGTCACCATACTTGGGAACCTGCTCATCATCCTGGCCGTCAGTTCAGACTCCCACCTCCACACCCCCATGTATTTCTTCCTTGCCAACCTGTCCTTTGTAGACATCTGTTTCACCTCCACCACCATCCCTAAGATGCTGGTAAATATACAAACACAGAGAAAAGCCATAACTTATGAAAGCTGCATCATGCAGATGTACTTTTTCATACTTTTTGCAGGTTTGGACAACTTCCTCTTGACTGTGATGGCTTATGATCGCTTTGTGGCCATCTGTCACCCCCTGCACTACACTGCCACCATGAACCCTGGGCTCTGTTCACTACTGCTTATGGTGTTCTGGATCATGAGTGCCCTGCATTCTTTGTTACAAACCTTAATGGTGCTGCAGCTGTCCTTCTGTACAGTCTTGGAAATCCCTCACTTTTTCTGTGAACTGCATCAAATGATCCAACTTGCGTGTTCTGATACCTTTCTTAATAACGTGGTGATGTACTTTGCAGCATTGCTTCTGGGTGGTGCTCCCCTGGCTGGGATCATTTACTCTTATGCAAAGATAGTTTCCTCTATATGTAGAATCTCATCAGCTCAGGGAAAGTATAAAGCATTTTCCACCTGTGCAGCACACCTCTCTGTTGTCTTCTTATTTTATTGCACAAGTTTAGAGTGTACCTTAGCTCTGCTGCTACCCAGAACTCCCACTCAGGTGCAGTAGCCTCAGTGATGTACACTGTGGTCACACCCATGCTGAACCCTTTCATCTATAGCCTGAGGAACAAAGACATAAAGGAGGCTATTAATGTACTTTTCAGAGGGAAGCCATAAAAGGCCTATTTTTTACCAACTACCTGTGATTGCAGACTTAATAGCCAGAAATTGTGATTCTTTAATCAGATAATGAAAGATTTTATTTCTTCTATTTATATCTTGGAGTTTCAATTTGTCTAAAATCATCTTTATAGATTTAAATAAGTCCCTTTGTTGAAATTTCTGTTCCTTCTAATGCTCAACAATTTTCCTTTTGTCTTCTTAGCTTCCAAAATTAGTCCCAACCTTGAATCAGAAACATTTTGGAGATTCCCATTTGCCTCATATAGTGATGAACTGTACTAGTTTTATGAAGTAAACTACATTGGCAACTGAGGCAATTTTTATGATTTTATTGTAGAGGAAATTCTGAGATCACAATTTTTTACTGTGTCTGCCTTAAATGATCTTTTTTTTAAAGATTTCTTTTATCTGTGGAACATAAAGAATAACATGGAGGACATTAGGAGAAGGAAGACATGTTTGTAAATAAAGCCCAGTATTCTCAGTATTCTCTGAAGCTCCAAAAACAAATAAACAAACAAAAAAAACCAAACAAACAATTATTTATTTGAGAGAGAAAGAGAATAGTAACAGGGGAGCAGAGAAAAAAGCAGGACCCCTATTGAGCAGACCTTCCCCCCCCCCGCAGGTCTTGATCCCAGAAACCTGGAATCATGACCAGAGCCTAAGGCAGATGTTTAACTGACTGAGCCACTGAGGCACCCCTTAAATGCTCTTCTTGATAATAGAGAATTTAACCTATGAATTTGGTTTCAAGCTAGTCATGGAGCTTTGTGATCCTCATTAAGATCCTGTTCCCTTGTCAGTTCAGCATCCACAGTATCCCTGGCACAGAATAGTAAGGCAAAAGTTGCTCATGAAAAACAGCCTACCAGGGTAATCTATAGAAAAACAAATTTGCATAAACAAATTAACATGGGTTTGATATAAAAGAAGACCTGAAATACGATGAAGTAAAATTTTCTATCACACCATATTTTATTGCAGAAAATGTGTTTTTGATGATGAACACCTACACATTGAAGCATGGGGTATTTGGTGTCCATGTTTAAAGGCCTCTATTAATTGGAGTAAAGAATTTAGTGGCAGATTTTGTATTATTTAATTGGATGATTTTGCTCTTTCTAATTGAAAATTTCAAGTCTTGCCTACAAATATTGCTTCGTACATTGCCCTGAACGTAAATTCTCCCCCTTTAAAAATGTTGTCATAAAACTTATAGGGTGAGTGAGTGAACAATTGGTTTGTTCACTCTGTCATTAATTTCTTTACCTTTTTTATGCTCTAAACTCTCTTCAATCCTGTGATTAAAGGATGACTCAGACAAGACCTTGTATTCCTCCCCAGTAATACTCTAGGAAAGGAAACTTGTGACTGAGGGGCCCACAAGTTTTTCCTGGAAAAACACACAGGTCTTTCCAACCTCTACCAGTTACCCAGAAGGAAATCTCAATGATAGTCACTTTTAGCACACTTATTTGAAATAAAAGTGAATAACCATGACATTATGAATACTCCTTCCAAATATCAGAACAAGTGTAAAAAATAAGAAGGAGTATTAAAAAAAAAGTCTAAAAAAATAAGAAGGAGTAGATTATTCCTAATATCTTCAGATCTGTTTATATTGATTATTATATCAGTTAGTGATTGCTGCATGACAAGCCATGCCAAATGTAAAAGATATGATATAATGCTTCTTTTAAAATTGCATGGGGGACTATGTTGGGGAAATATTTTGGTCTCTGCTGGTCTCCTCATGAGGCTTCTGCAAGCTGTGGCTCAGCTAAAAGTGCTCTTCTAATCTTGGCTGTGTTCTCACAGTTGGGGATTGCTGATGGTAGGCTGGTCTAGGTTGGCCACTGTTAGTGTACCTGGGCGCTGCTCCATCTATTTTCTCTTCGTACAGCAGGCTAGCCAGGACTTGTATACATGGGATACAAGGCAGGGTTACTAGAGAGGAGCAGAAACACACAAAGACCCCTTGAGGTACACTGTCATGTTCAGCATACACTATTACTCAAAACAAATAAAACATTAATTTCAGTCCAGATTCAAAGGTGGAGATATAGATTCCACCTCTCAGTGGGAGGAGCTTCACAGTGACATTACAAAGCACGTAGATACAGAGTTAAGCAATGAATTGGAACCATCTCTGAAAAAGGTCTACCACAAGTGTGATTTTCAATTCAATAGTTTTATTGGCGCAGGGCATAAAATCACTATACAGAACAATACAATACAGTACAATAGAGTGATTCAACAATTCTACGCATGACAGAGTGGTCATCATTAATGAGTGTGTTCTTAAGGGTTGAGTCTGCAGGATTTTCTATATTTAGTTCATATCATCTGTAAATAAATAAATAAATAATTTTACTTTTTTCTGATTTGGATGTCCTTCATTTCCTTAACTTGCCTGATTGCTCTAGCTAGGACCTGCTGTGTTATATTGGATAGGAATGGCGACCGTGGACACCCTTGTCTTGCTCCTGATCACAAAGGAAAATTTCCTAACCTTTCACCATTGAGTATAGTGCTACTGTGAATTTGTCTTATATGGTCTTATTTTATGTTGAGGTGTATTCTTACATCCAGTTTGTTGAAGGTTTTTTTTTTTTTAACCATGAAAATATGTTGCATTTTGTCAAAAGCTTTTTCTGCATCTATTGAGATGATCATATGATTGTTATATTTCATTCTATTAATGTGGTATGTAACTTTTATTGATTTGCTTGTGTTGAACCATTCTTGTATTGAAAGGATAAATTTCACCTGATGATGGCATATAGTCCTTTCGTGTGCTATTTAAATCAGTTTGCTAATATTTAAAAAAACAAACAAACTGTGTCTATGTTCATCAAATATATTAGTCTACAGTTTTCTATTCTTGTACTGACTGTTTCTGGCTTTGGCATCAGGTTAATGCTGATTTTGTAAAATGAAGTTGAGAATGTGCCCTCCTCTCTAAGTTTCTGGAAGGGTTTGAGAAGGATTGTTATTCACTCTTCTTTAAATGATTAGTAGATTTAACCTGTGAACCTCTCTCATCCTGGGCTTTTCCTTGCTGGGAGATACTGGGTTATTGATTTAATAGGCCTACTCATTATTCGTTTGTTCCTATTTCCTATTTTTTCTGAATTTAGACATGGTAGTTTGTATGTTTCTAGGATTTATCCACTTCTAGGTTTTCCAGTATTTTGGGGTGAAATTGCCCATACTGGTCTCCTATGATTCTTTGTATTTCTATAGTACTCATTGTATGGTATCCTCTTTTGCTGATGATTTGATTTATTTAGATCTTCTTCACGCCCCCCCTCCTTTTTGGGGGTGTCTAACTAAAGTTTTGTCAATTTTGCTTAGTTTTTCAAATTATTGACTCATCTTTGTTAATCTTTCTGTTGGTTTTCTGGTCTATATAGTCTTCTTAATTTAATTTTATGGTCTATATATTCTTCTTAAGTGATTAATACAATTCACCTCTGAAGAGCTTTAGTCCTGGGTTTTTCTTTGCTGGGAGATTTTTGGTTACTGAGTTAATAGCCTTACTCAATATTGGTTTGCTCATATTTCTTATTTATTCCTGATTAAGTCCTGGTGACTTATACATTTCTAGGGAAATATCCATATCTTCTAGGTCTTCTAGGTCTTCTAATTTGTTGGAGGGAAATTGTTCATAGTGGTCTCCCATGATTCTTTGCATTTCTATGGTATTCATTGTTTTTTTTAATTAAAACATTTTTTATTTAATTTTTTAAAATTTTTTAAATTAAAAATATTTTTAATTAAAAGTAACGTGGCAGGATACAAAGTCAATGTACAGAAATCAGTGGCTTTCTTATACATTAACAATGAAAATACAGAAAGGGAAATTAGAGAATTGATTCCATTAACTATAGCACCAAGAACCATAAGATACCTGGGAATAAACCTAACCAAAGACATAAAGGATCTGTACTCGAGAAACTACAGAACATTCATGAAAGAAATCAAAGAAGATACAAAAAGATGGAAGACCATTCCATGCTCTTGGATCAGAAGAATAAACATTGTTAAAATGTCTATACTGCCTAGAACAATCTATACTTTTAATGCCATTCCAATCAAAATTCCACCGGTATTTTTCAAAGAGCTGGAGCAAATAATCCTAAAATTTGTATGGAACCAGAAGAGACCCCGAATTGCTAAGGAAATGTTGAAAAACAAAAATAAAACTGGGGGCATCACGTTACCTGATTTCAAGCTTTACTACAAAGCTGTGATCACCAAGACAGCATGGTACTGGCATAAAAATAGACACATAGGCCAGTGGAACAGAGTAGAGAGCTCAGATATGGACCCTCAACTCTATGGCCAGTTAATCTTCGACAAAACAGGAAAAATTATACAGTGGAAAAAAGACAGTCTCTTCAGTAAATGGTGCTGGGAAAGCTGGGCAGCTATATGTAGAAGAATGAAACTCGACCATTCTCTTACACCATGTACAAAGATAAACTCAAAATGGATAAAAGACCTCAAGGTGAGACAGGAATCCATCAGAATCCTAGAGGAGAACATAGGCAGTAATCTCTTCGATATCAGCCACAGAAACTTCTTTCAAGATATGTCTCCAAAGGCAAAGGAAACAAAAGCCAAAATAACCTTTTGGGACTTCATCAAAATCAAAAGCTTCTGCACAGCAAAGGAAACAGTCAAGAAAACAAAGAGGCAACCCACGGAATGGGAGAAGATATTTGCAAATGACAGTACAGACAAAAGATTGATATTCAGGATCTATAAAGAACTCCTCAAACTCAACACACACAAAACAGATAATCATATCAAAAAAATGGGCAGAAGATATGAACAGACACTTCTCCAATGAAGACATACAAATGGCTATCAGACACATGAAAAAATGTTCATCATCACTATCAGAGAGATTCAAATTAAAACCACATTGAGATACCACCTTACACCAGTTAGAATGGCCAAAATTAGCAAGACAGGAAATAACA